CAGCAAATGCATACATGAACAGAATGTATCCAAACAAGCTATATGGGCAATATGGGAATAACACATATCGATCTGGTTATGGTTATGGCTATGGCTATGATTTACAAAGTAATTCACGAGGTTGGTCAACCTATGATAACAAGTTCAAACCTAGAGGAAGAGGCAACGGTTTCTTTAGCTACAACAATGAGAATGTTGATGGTTTAAATGAGCTCAACAGGGGTCCAAGAGCAAGAAGCATCAAGAACCAAAAGGGGTTCACTCCCATTACTATTGCTGTAAAGGGAGAAATTACACCTTTGCCATCTACTGATGTCATTGAGAAAGACGAGGGTAAAGAAGTCATTTTGACTCCTGACAGAGAACAATACAACCAAGCAGATTTTCCCGAAACTTATGAAAATGCCAAGTTTTTCATTATCAAATCCTACAGTGAAGATGATGTTCATAAGAGCATCAAGTATAATGTTTGGGCAAGCACACAAAATGGAAACAAGAAACTCGATGCAGCTTACCATGAGGCTCAGCAGATATCTGGAGGATGCCCTATTTTTCTTTTCTTTTCAGTAAGTATTTATTAACCTATTACAACTATTACAACTATTACAACTACAATTTTACCCTTGTGCTTATTCTTTCAGTATCTAGTGTTTGTTTTTTATGGTTATTGATTGTATTTTTAAAGGTGAATACAAGTGGACAATTTGTGGGTGTAGCTGAGATGATAGGGCCAGTTGATTTTGAGAAAAGCTTAGAGTTCTGGCAACAAGACAAGTGGATTGGTTGCTTTCCTGTAAAGTGGCATATTGTTAAGGATCTTCCAAACAGTTTGTTGAAACATATTATTCTTGAAAACAATGAGAATAAACCTGTTACAAATAGCAGGGACACTCAAGAGGTAGTTTGAGTTTCTTTACAACATTTGTCATCAATATTTTTATAAAATTTGTTAAAGTTTGACTTGTTTTTTTTCTTCAGGTGAAATTGGACCAAGGATTGCAGATGATTAAGATATTCAAAGAGCATTCAAGCAAGCAATGCATTTTGGATGATTTTGAGTTTTATGAAGATAGACAGAAGAGGATTCAGGAGAAAAAAGCAAAGCAACAGCAGTATCAGAAACAAGTATGTGGTTTTTTATTTGTTTTTTGTTTTTTTAAGGTATTGTGGTTTGGTGTTGGGTTGATATTGTTGTTTGTATTTGTTAGGCGTGGGAAGGGAAACCGGTGGTTGATGATGTGGTGGTAGTACCGCCAATGACCACCGCTGATGTGGCGGATTTGGGAAATGAAGTTGACAAAGATGTTAAGGTTAAGGTGAGTGAGGTGAAACTTGCGGATAATGTTGAAGACAAAGTAGCAAATGGTTGCTGAGTTAGCGGTGGTGTGTGTAGGCGGCAGGAGGCTGTTTGACTGGAAAATTCGCAAATGAGTTGACTGCTGCCTTGAGAAATTGTGGGATCTGAATCAAGAATCTTTCATGATTTGGTTTTTGAAAGAAGGAAAAGGTTGCAATGGAGAAAATAGGGAAAATGTAAATTTGGAGGATGATAGTCTCTCCTCCTATAGTGGTTTTAGTTACAAACAGTTTTTTTGAGGACTCTTAGAGATCTTTGGTTAGGTTTTTCTTTTAGATGAAAGTTTTTCCATTATGGTTTGTTTTTTTTGGGTCTCATTTTATGTTCTGAGTTAGTTGTTTCTCTCTTTTTATGTCTTGTAAAATCTAGATCAAGGTTACATAGGTGCTAGAAAAGCAGGGTGGATTTAGGGTGTTGGCAAGTATTAATTGATTTCAAAGATGCTTTTGATTTGATTGGTTTCAAGTATGCTTGCTTTTTAAATCTCTCTTTTATGAATATCCATTTATAATACCTCTTGTAATTAAGAGGTAAAACATGAAGTTTGAAAGAATTAAATTGTTTGTTAAACATGCGCTGATCAAAAGTTCAAAACCAAAAAAATTGGTTTCGGTTTGTGAGTGTTGATTTTATGTGGGTTGGTCCAGGTTATTGTCATTTGTGAGTAAGAAAAGGGATGTTTGGAACACAACCTTTCAGATAGATTATGATTGTTAAGATAGAAGTATTACATCTCGGGTTTCTTTATTACTACTATATGAGAATTATGAATTTTAAAGATTGGCTCATTTTCAGTCAGTTTGTGGCAGTGTCCTTCGTCATCTAAGATTGTTTGAGAATCTTTAGCGGGAATTATTGGAAATTCATGTAAGGTGTCAAACTCTTGCCAAATTAAGTTAGGTATGTACTCGGGGCTTCTGTGGGGAGTGTGCATTCGGTTTGTTTAATTATGAAAATGATGTTTCTAGCAGTTAGTAATCAACTGTTTCAGATGACAAAGCAACGTTTGTCAAGTCCTTTATGTGTGACATTGAGTTTGTATGAAGTTCAACTTTGGGATGCCGCCTTGGCGGAAATGGTAGATTGGGTCGATCCAGCTTGGCTTCGGTCAACATAATCATGGGTGATTTCGAGAGTTTTACGTGTTAGTTGTGCATTTTCAGAAATCTGTTTAGATTCTCCAAGGCTGTTCTTTTAGTTTTTGATTAGGATGTTGACTTTAGTGGTTGATGTTCCTAAGGTATTTGGATCCGATGATGTCATTTTAGACCCCAACTGGATGTTTCGGGAAGGATAGAGATTCGTTTGGTTATAGTATAATATTGGATCTAGATGTACTTCACTCTTTAGATATAGTGACCGATATGTTCTCTCAGCAAGGATGTTGAGGATACGTTGAGAAAACGTTTGAAGTGTTGGAATATGTAAGGCCGTAGCCGGTTGTTGGTAACTGCCTTGTTGGCAGGATGTGTTCGGTTTCTCGACAGTGGTAGTGAGGGACGTTAACTGAGTTTTTGCAGATTGGTGGGATGATCGTCGAGGACCTATAGGCCCACTGAGGTGTTCATGGCCGGTCCTGAAAAATGAATTTTTCTTAAAGGCTTAGGACGAATAAGAAAAAAAGAGCCCTTGTCTTTATTATAATTTTGTATTTTTAAATAAAAATATATAATAAAAAAATTAGGTCCTGTGCAGCTGCTTACTTTGTCCTCCCTCTAAACCCCCCATGGAGGTGTTGATCATGAGTCTTCAGGCCCGTGGAGGAGTGATGACAAGAACGAGTTTGTACTGTGATCTTATCATTCCAATGGTTGATGGTGTCGCGACGTATCATGAACCGGTGTGTACACAACTTGTGAGGGTTGGACCCGACAGTTGTGTACTTGAGACTCTTATGTTTTGGTTCGTTGGACTTTGGCGCGGTTGGGTGTTTTGGAGCATCGTTGTAATGCTATTGGTTGCCTAGTGGCAGACAGGCTTTAGACTATATGTTGGGTATAATGTTGACTTGTTGGAAGGTCATGTTTACGCATCTAAAGTTCCTTGTTGTGTTTATGCATTTGCGGGTCTTTGGTTATTTTTGGAGAGTTGTTCGTTATGAGTTGGATTACCGGTGATGGAGTGATGGAGTATTGGTTCTGGAGATGTCGAGCTACGGAATTCGGAATTCCATGGGATGATCTATCGGATGGATGTGCACCTGAAGCAGAATGGAGGTTTTAACTCGATCTAAGGTTATGTTTCGTTTATTAGTATGCTCGTGGGAGCAGTGGGATAGTGGTGATTCTGCAAGAAATCAAATGAGCAACAGAAACCCTTTTGGGCATGGTTTTCTATATAAGGGATTAGTTAAGTGTTTATTACCGGTATGTTTTGGATATCCGTTGGTTCGTAGATGGCGGTGTTGTTAGTTGAAGGGATTGGGAAATACGTATATCGAAAGGAGATCATCAGTCTTTGGGTATGATTTCTAGGTTTTATAACGATGGAGTCCTAGTCTTGTGAGGTCATCATTGAGTTTGGGTTTGTAACCTCGGTGTTGGAATTTTTGGGTTTGAGTGGTCTTATTATGAATTTGTTTGGAAAATTTGTGTTCCATGGAGGAAATTGTAGTAATTCATTAATTTGGGTTAATATGATCGGTTTGGGGCCTCTTCCCATCTTTTAGAGTGTTTCTCCGATACATGGCACAACTTCCTTCTACATGACGCAACATGATGTTCCATGTTGCTCCAAGTGCCTCCAAACGCTCAAGTCACATCTAACAATAATCCTCCGCTCAAACCCAAGTTCCTCCTTTGGCCTTCCTTTCAAGGACTTTTCATTAGATCCAATCATTTTTAATACCGCCGATACAAGGCTTCAGGATGAACTTCGTTAGACGAAGAATTTCTGGGGATTGCATCACTTGCACCGACCACATTATCCGGGCTATGACCATATCTCTATACCATCTATAATGATGACTACTAGCCCAATCATGTTCAACATAGAAAGAACAATGGATTCCAATTTCTAAAACCAATTGGTGATAGAAAGGGATTAACCATTGCCTTATATACTTACATTTACTTTTTCTTTTTTGCCGATGTGGGATTAGGTTTGCACCTTAATACTAAGTCTAAACTTACGGTCAGGATGCACCGACCTCAAAGAATTCTACCACAAATATTGTGTAAATTTATAAACTTAACTTCAAACTTAGCATGGTCAAGACAAATCGACATTAAACTCGACCATAAAACACGTTACTTGAGAGTAGCCCACGTTCGGAATGGATATATATATATATATATATATATATACAACGAGGTTCATGTGAAAAAAGAAAGAAGATGTGAAAATGCAAGAACCAATAAAAATTAGACACATGTATGTGATTTATATTTTTATTTTTGAATTATATAAAATTGTTGATTAAAAATATAAGGGCAATAAAGTAATTATATATAGGGAAATGTAATCGTGGGTAGTAACTAGTAACTGGATTAAAGATTTTCAATTTCAAATTTCTGGATGATGGCTTTTGAATGTCGAAGAACTTTAGTAACTTCCCAAATCCTGGAGCGTGAATATAATCTGAATATACGACAAGAACAAAGAAGTTGTCTTATTTGGAGGTATGTTAGTATTTTCGAATTAGATGTTTGCGTTTAAAGCGATCTTGGATGCTAGTTCAAGTAGGAAAAGGGCTAATACGCAAAGGAAAAAAAAGAAGGTTTTGCAAATGGAATCTGAAGGAAATATTAATCGGAACTTAAACTCTGTTGATAACCCAATTGAAATTGAAGATGACGAAGAATCGGATGACGATTGTTCAGTTGATCATTTACTTTTCCAGAAAAAGTTAATCGATGAAGGTTTGTGGTTTATACAAAACATTGTAGTTTTTTTGATCAAAACTTTGTGGTTTTAAATTTATATTTTGTATCAGATATGAAGAAGACAATTGAGATACATTCAAGTGGTTCTGTGAAGATTGAGAAAGATGACGAAGAAATTCCAGATGACTTTTTTGTGTCAGATATAAAAAATCCAATTCAGATACATTCTAGTGGGTCTTCAAAGATTAAGAAAGATCATGAAGAAATTTTTGATTCTGTTTTGTATAATATACATAGTCAGGGGGGAAATTTTGATGAAGGTATGTGGTTGATAAATAAGTTTTTACATTTAATTTTAAATAAATTTAAGTTGTTTTATATGTACAACTATTGTCAGATCTGAAGAATACAGTTGAAATACATTCGAGTAATTCTTTGAAGATTAAGAAAGATGGACATCAGATTAAGAAGTCAATGTCTAAAGTAAAAAAAAAAAGAAAAAAAAGAGTGTATACGGTAATACACATTCATTAACATTTGAAGGTCCCGGTTACATATATTTTATTATTGTATTTTTTGGTTATGTTTTGTAGGTGAAAATGATTTTTCAAGTGATTCTGATTATGAAGAGGCGAGTATTAAGGGTTTTAAGAAGTTCATAGTCAAATCTGATAGAAAAGTTATAAAAAAAAAAGCTGGTAAATCTGGGAATGTGAAATCTTTGTATGCTCGCGTGTCGCTTAATTCTCTTTATGGGGCTGTCAATTCTATGAATCAGATCCAAAAAGACTGTGTAAGAAGAATAGGATTTGGGTCATTGCTTGATATGAAGACTCAAAGTATACCAACAAAATTATGTTACTTTGTTGTGGATTCTTTTGATCATGAGGAGATGGTGATTAAGAGTGATGTTGGAAATATTGCTGTAACAAGAGAAGAGGTGAATAAGGTTCTAGGTTTGCCTTTGGGTGTTGAGCAGATAAGTTGTCTAGGTGTTCGTGGCAATGAGGATTGGTTTGAAATGTGGAAAGAGCAATTTAAAAAACCATTGTCATTAGTAGTTCCTTCTGATTTGGTGGTTAAGATAGTAGAGAGAAGTGAAGCTGATATGGTATTCATTGCAAATTTCATAATTCTGGTTTGTACATGTTTTGGATCATGTACCAAACAAGGAGGATGTAATATGAAAGTACTTCCTTATTTGTCTTGTTCATCTAAGTTAGATAAAATTGATTGGTGTTCATATATATTGAACTCTGTGAAGGAGGAGAAATCGATATGGAGCAAGAATGACATAAAAACATTTTTTAATGGACCATGTGAATTTCTGACGGTATATGATATTAAATTATTTGTTTAGTATATATAATAATAATTACTAATAACATGTCGGTTTGTAATTAAAATTGTATTGTGTAGTTGCTTTATGTTGATAGGATTAAATGTAAGGAAATGTCAATTGTGAGAAGATATCCTGTAATTAATTTCTGGACATCAGAGCAACTTAAATTTAGAGAGAGCAAGGAATTGGCCAATGGAGGTTTCGGTAATGGAGTTGATGCTGAAAAGGGTGATGAAGAACTTGAAAGTGGATACATATTAGTAAGTTTGAGTAATTGTATTTTTTTTTTATTAAAAATTTTAAAATTGGAAATGCCTTATTAATGTATTGTAACTATATTTACAGGATATTCAGTCAGATATTCAGTGGGCCGTGTCTGACTTGTCCAAGAAAGTGGAAATGGCATTGCAAAAGCATGCAAATCATCAAATATTTCATTTTTATAGGGGGAAATTAGAACAACTTGTTTTTGATATTTCAAAATTCCAACAGAGTGATTTTAAGAATGATTCAAGGTCTGACTCATTATCAAGGAAAATTACTTTTGAGGATAAGTCTTTCACATATAAGGAAATGGGGAAAGGGTTTTATAGAAAAAATAATGGGCGTTTGTATGGTGAGAACGATGAAAGAGACAACTTTATGAATGAAGATGTACCATCATTTGATTTAGGAATAGAATCTGAGATGTGTACCCCAAAAAAGGGTTGTTTGAGTTCGGGTATTGAAATTCAAGATAAATCAAAGTCTTCAGTGGTATTTGAATCGCCAGTGAATTTAATCGGTAACAAAGTGGATGTTCCAAGTTATTTAAGTAAAAGAGTTGAAAGTCAACCGGATAAAAAATCAAGGCCAAAGAGAAACCAAATGTTACCACAGGTGAGAAGGTCTCCTTTTGTTATTCGTGCTGTTGATATTGAATCAAATTTAACGAGGGAGGAGAATATCATATCGAATTGGGTATTCAGTTTATGCCAAGATCCAATGTAATGTTTAGACTATATTAATAAATGTTATTATTAAATTATCATGTGTTAATATTTATATTGTAATTTTGTAGGGACAACTTATTTCAAAGCATATCAGGTCAACGTGGAGAACGCCATATGTTTGAGAGTTTATACCCGCATGAACATCTTTTTTCTGGTACAATTGATTGCTTTGTCGATGTTTTAAACTATGATGAGAGATTAAGAAATATGGACACTCCTTCATGTTTCTTTTTCAAGACGTCTGTTTTGATAAACCTCATATTCTTTTTAATTTTATTATTTATTTGGATATGACATTGATAGTTAGTGTTTTCTGAATATGTAGGATCCTTCATTTATGCACATAAAAGGATAAAAAACTGAACAAGATTACCAAATTTTCAAAGAGAATGTTGTTCACTGTTTGGGTGTATCTCAAGATAGAAGAAGGTTGAAAGGAATTGATATGGTAATGTTGTAATATGTTATTTATTTATTTATTTCAAAGAATAAAGGGTATTAGTGAAATTATGATATTGATTTCCAGTTTTTTTTTCCTGCACGTTCAAACAATCACTATTTTGTGTTTGTTTATGACTTTAAGAATCGAAAAGCTGTGATTTTGGACAACATATTGTACAGTTTTTCCAACGAACCATATCCGATTCTTATGCTTAATTTGGTAAGTGATTTTGTATTTAATTAACTTTTAATTTTACTATAATGGATTTGTGTTATATTTTTTGAAAAGTGAAAATAATTTTATATATCAATGCAGAAATATATGTTTGGAAGGTATCTACAAGAAATAAATCATAATATGGCGTTTGCGGTTCAATATGAGATTGATTTTGTAGATCAATATATGACTTGGAAAACAAGAGGTAACTCTAATGATTGCGGTATTTTTTTAATGAGGCATATGGAAACGTATAAAGGAGGTCCGTTAGCACAATGGTGTTGTGGTTTAAAAAGGGAAGGTGCTGAACAGTTACTTCAAATAAGGAATCTCCGAAGGAGGTATTGTTTGAAAATACTGTTGAGTGAGGTGAACATAATGAAGCCTAAAGTTGTTAATCTAATTAATCAATATCAAAGGATGCCTGCTAATGATAGGCGGATTATGTATCATGAGGCTATTATTAACATAGGATCGCGTCTCTCAGCATTTGGTCCATGAAAAGGTGTAATGGTGGTTAAATTAGTAATCTGCAGTGGTAGGTTGCATAAGTGAATGTGTTTAGTATTATGCAGTAGCAGTGGTTTGTGTTATTGTTTAGTTTTAGTTTGGTATGTTATAAGTGTTTGGTAGATAATATAATGTTATCTTTACTGTTAGATGTGAATTGATGAAATGTAAGACATGTTTTAAACTCGATGTGTTAATGATGTTTTGTTAAATTGTATAGTTATGTGTTAAAGTTACAATTTGTTTCATTTGTAATGGTGACAAGTAGGGATGAACATTTGCATCGGGGAATCGGCTGGACCGAGACGATTTTCTTGTGGATTTTTGGAACCGGGAATCGTTATTAATTGGCGGTTCGGTTCGGTTCATATTTTCCACCAAGTTCGGTCGGATCTGGTTCGTGCTGGTTACGGCCTGGCTAGATCACAAGTATTGTTATATATGTATATATATAAGTGAAAGGAGAACAATTCGTGAATAGTTATTAAATTAGTTTTGTAAATATTTTTAAGAATGGTTAATATGTAAGTGAAAGGAGAACAATTCGTGAATAGTTAGTTGATGAATTGAAAATGTCTTAACATATATTTTGGATGTTGTGTGGGTTATATATGTCTAAAAGATAATCAAAAATATACAGAATGGAGAGTTTACATGAAAAAAAGTTTAAGAATAAAGAAAAGAGTTTGTGTAAGTTATGTAAAATGTTGGTGGATCATGACTCTAGGAATTGTCCATATGACAAAAGAGTTGCACAGAGGAGTTGCTATGAAGAATTTGAAGGAAAGAGATTTTGTAAGTTCTGCAAAAGAGTTGGTTTTCATGATATAAGAATTTGTCCTTATGACAAATGACATTAAAATTTATTTTTTATTATTACAATAAGTTTTGGATTTCTTTTAATTTTTATATATTTGTTTTCCAATAAGGTATGGGTTGTAGGTGTAATTGGAATAAGATTTTATATTATGTTTTAATGATGTTTTTTATATGATTTTTATGAAATAGTCATATCGCTTTTGCATAAAGTTTATTTGATGTTATTATAATAAGTTTTGTATTGATGTTTCAATGATGTTTGGAGTATAATAATTTTTTAAAATTTGAGTATGAATATTGAACCTTAAATGATGCAATGTTGGTCAAAAGTAAATACGTTTCATACGTAACAAACATTGAAACAAACATTCAGATAAATTTAACAAACATTACAAAGTTTTAACCCTAATATTAGTAATATAAAGCACTATAAGTACATACAATTAAAAAATAAAATAAGTTATTTATTGTTGTTTTTTGAAAGGCTTAAGGACTTTGGAAGGATTTATCGGACAGTTTCTTCTATCATGGTTGACTAATTGCTTGCATCCGTTGCATATACGTTTTGCTCGAAGAGATTTAGCTATTGCTTTTTCTGCGGCACTTTTGATTCTATTTCTCTTTGCACTTCCTTTTGTTTTTATCCCACTAGGTACTTTGATTTTAATATCATCTGCAATATGAAGTCCAATGACATTTTCAACAACTTCTTTTATTGGATTTGAACTTGGTTTAGATGCAACATCCTTTCCACAATTTACACTTAATTCTTGAAGAGCATTCACCAATTCTTGTAATTTTTCCTTGTCATGAACAACCGTATCAATGCATTTCTCATAATATGAAAAAGCATCTTGCAGGAGATTAGAAATATCTGTATTGCACACTTGCCATCTTTGGTTTACCTTTTGAAAAGCAATATCCACTATGTTCTTTTTCCATCGATCCAAAATGTATTTCTGGGGTATCTCGAATATGTCATAATCTATTAGAACTCTAAAAGCATGACTACATAGTATTCCAAAAAATTGGAAATGCAAACATGCACAATCAATTGTTTGCTCATGTGCATTGAAAGATACCTGAAAGATAATCACAATATTTGATTAAACAAATATTAAGATAGAACTTAAAATAATTTTAAATAAATATCATCAATAAATAGATTTAAAATTAACCTTAAATTCGGGTCTTTTGCCTGACTTAATTTCCTTGTAAACGATTGTGCATTCTTGAAAGCCATTAACTATGATAGAAGTCTTTTGAAAACACTGATAAAATGCCTTTTTAATCTGTTTCTGGACTTTAAGGAATGCTTCTCGTGTGTAGACTAATGAAGCATGTTTTTCAATCTTCAAAGGATCAGGAGCAAATAAAAGTTGGGGAGAAGTATCTCTTGATGCAATATCAAATTTTTTTTGCTCATGACGTTGCTTTGAAAGTGCAGTGTCAAAATTGAACATAAAGTTTACAAGTAAGTTTGTTGCACTGGCGAAAACATTGAAAAATGAATTTGAACTTTCAGACCGAGATGTAGTTTTCATAAGGCCACACATAGGTATATCTCTAAAGTATGAAGGAATCCACTTGTCTCTCTTGCTGAACATATCATCTAACCATTTATTTTCCCTCAGATCAAATTCATCCAACATCATATCCCACTGACACTCAAATTCTGATGGTTCAATATTCATACTCCAAACTAGTTGATTTATGCGTTTCTTGAAATCTGAATTTGAAACTACATTGGGTTCATTCTGTCATTTAAAATGTGTAGATATTATTATTTTTACATAAGATATATAAAATTTAATGAATAAACTAATATATTACCTTTGAAGGCATTTTTGACATTATGTGCCACATACATAATCTGTGTGTACATCCTTGAAGCTCCTTTGATATAGAAGAAGTTAAAGCTGGATCCATATCTGTCAAAATCATGGTTGGTTTTTTTTTATGTGCTGATAGAAAAGCTTTTAATAACCAGGAGTATGACTCGATTGTTTCATCTGATATTAGTCCTGCTCCAACATTGATTGTCTTCTCATGGTTGTTAATAGCAGTGAAAGGAACAAATATCATATTGTACCTGAAATTTTTAAAAAATTATATAAACATATATATACTATATTTTATTATATATAATCATACCTGTTTGTTCTGTACGTTGCATCCATTGAAATAACATCTGAAAACTTAGAGTAGTTTTCTTTTCCTGTTTCATCAACCCAAAACATAGCACTTAGTTCCTCATCATTTAACTTATATTCAAAATGGAAATTTGGATAATTATCCCTGCGAATTATCAACTGGTCTACAACACATTGAGCATCATTGGGTCCAACAATATTGGTATAATCTCTCCAAAAGTTCTTGAAATCATTCTTTGTTGCTGGAAAATGATCATATCCTCCTTTTAATGATGCTCGTATCTTGTGTGCTTTAGTTGCACCAATGTTGAGAGTTGAAGCTTTGAAAATAAGTTCTTAATCAGAAATACTAAGTCTATGATTATGAGAACAGAGACTTTCTTCATTAAATTCAGTAAGTGGATGGTTGTGTGCTTCTTCAAATGCATATACAGTAATAGTATTTGTTTTATAATCTCTATCAAAACCAATCATCGCCATACATCCTGTAACTTTTGAATATGATTTTCTTTCCTGCTTTTTCAGTCGTTTAGATGTAAGAGTATCAATGGATTTTTTTCTTGGTTGTCCATATCTGTTGCATCTTACATGTTTTTTTCTTAGACTGTAGTCACCATATGTAGTTGTGGATCCTAATCTAATTCCAAAACCAGCAGCTTTTCCATATGTTCGATACATTTCAATTCTTTCATCTATAGTTGACACAATTTCTCCTTTTTTAGGAATCAAATCTGAACATTTGGATGATACAGTTCTCCTTTGTCTATGGTTGATTTTCCTATCAAAATTTCAAAAAACTATATATTGAAGTTTATATATATAGATATATATATTTAATATAAAGTATGAAAACTTGCCCTTATAATTTTCGTTTATTGTTGATTGTGAAGTCCCAATTGCAGAATCATTGAAAGATGCAGTTGCTTCATGGAACAAATAAAAAGAACATAAGGATTTAAAAGATTGTGTAATCATGTATTTCAGTTGATAGTATATTCTTTTAAAATCAATCAATAATATATAATAAAATAATGGTTGAAATCTTGACTTTATCACCTTCGGTGTCTTGAATTAATGTTGATTTGGAAATTTCAATAGCTGAATCATTGAAAGATGCAGTTGCTTCATGGAACAAAAAAAAAAAGATAATGATTTAAAAGATTGCGTAACCATCTATTTTAATAGTTAGTATATTCTTTTAAAATCAATCAATAATATATAATAAAATAATGGTTGAAAACTTGCCTTTATCACTTTCAGTATATTCAATTAATGATGATTCTGAAATTTCAATTGCTGAACATCGGAATGATTTATGCCCTTCATGATTAAAATCATAAGAAGATGACTTTTCAAATTCTTGCATAGACATCTTTTCAAATGGTAATTAAATGTTTTTAAAATCAACGGTTATCTTTTTCAATCTAAGAAGTAAAAGCAATGAAGTTAATTGCGTAAAGATTAATGTGTTCATACAGGAAGTTATCGCTAAAGCAGTTAATGCACACGATTTAGTAATTTGTAAACTGATTCAATTCCTTTTTTAGTAAATTACATATAAACCCTTTTTTAATAATTTAAATTAACAAAAATGCACACGATTTACTGCTTATGCTTATTTGTTATTTGAATGCATCTGGGAATCAAAAATAAGTAACTTGCGGGCCCTCTTCCTTTACGTCCTTCACCTAGCTAGGCAAACGCAGCGCAGCTCAGTCGTGCAAGTTCACTTGGGATAGATACTTACTCTTCATCTTGGCACAACTTTTATGAAGACCGTACTGAACACAAGCTAATTGAACCTAGATGTTTTCTTGATCATATTAAGATGAATGGAGGAGATGAACTCGGTGCCCGAGTATGCCTCCTTCAACAATCATTGGATATAAGACTGATGGCTTTATAATTGAATGTGATACCGATCAAGCTCCTCCGAAAACACCAACTTATCGTTTTCCAAACAAATCAATCGCCCATCTGATGCCAAAACAGCTTCCTCAAGATGCTTCACTTGGCTCTGCAAATCACTCACCTGGAGCTCTACACACCACAGTTTGCTCTCTACCCCTACCAAATCACCCTTCAGTGCACTTTCAATTTTTTGTTTCTCCACTGTCAAAATCCTGACCTCAGATTCCAGTTTTGCCACCATGTTTTGACTTTCCTACTCCAATACACGGACTTTCTCCTCCAAACTCGCCACCTTATCACAACTCGAACTCATACATGTTGCCTATTGTTTAGAAGACGTTTAACCTCTTTTTCAGAAGTAGGAAAGACATATCTTATAGAGAGCGAGTTGAGTATTTGATAGGAGAGAGAATCACTTAGGTCAATTGTCTCATTTTGAGGGAAATCCACACATTTTTTAGCTTGAAATCAGCAAGTAGGGCCCAATGTAGGAAATCTGTCTCTAACAAAGGAGTTGATGGATCTGAGGAAGTGACCGCCTACAAAAAGTTCCAACTGTTTTAAGCAAGAACACTCCTTTATTGGCAGCAAAATCGGGGAAAACATCCGACTAGTAATCTGACAAGGAAAATACTGGGCCATCATCTTTCATGTGAGAGTCGGATAAACAAGAATGAAAATCAGCCTACATAAAATGAGAGTTAGTTTAACCCATCTCATTGCACTTGAGACTTTAACTAATGTGAACTTGATGGATCCTTCCATTTCCGAGAACCTACACAACCATTATAATGTTATTTAGTTTAATTTGATGCATTTATGCTAATATAGCTCATGTACTTATTCCTTTATCTTCTGTTTGATTTTTATGATCTGTTGGGACCTGTTTTGATACTTTTCTACTCATTAATAAATTCTAATAAAATTATGTTGATAAAATTTCATCTTTTACCTTTTTTAGATATATAAGGATCTCCTTCTAATTATTTTTGGTTAATTTTATATTAATTTGACAAGTTAGTGACTTTATGCGGTCCATTTCAGGACCACTCGATACTCTTAGAATAAACTGTACCAATTCACTAGAAATTTGGTCAAACCTTGATATCGAGGAAAATACATATCGATATCTAACTATACTCGTTGTAATTTTGGCATTTAGAGTCTTAATGAATATATTATGATTTTTAGAAGGTAGTGCATGAAATTTATGACAACACATACAGTTAGAGAAGATTGACCATTCTATCCTTCAAGGAGTTGGAATTTGGAAAAATGATTCAAAGTCTGCAAAAACTAGACACATTTAGCTTTCAAGAAAATTAGGTCTCATGAATTTTAGAGACTTTGATAGTCTTGTATGAATTTTTTTAGTTGAAGGGCAGAATTGAAAAAATGTGTCATTAAGCTTTTAAGTGGTTTTTGGTGTTCTATTAAGAACTTAATAGTTAAGTTTGAGTTCTGATTTTTTGGTAGATTAAAAGGTCATATAAGAAACTCTTAATATGTATTGACTACCTAGACTTAATGAATTGATGGTTTGTCTAAAAGAGGCTTGAAACCACGATCTCTTTTTCCATAAGATCATAATATCATTATGTGGGTTAAGTTTGCAACTTAACCGATTAATCACTTAAATTGAGTACTTGACTGGAAAATTAGGTCATTCATAGTTCCTCCTCCTATTAGCATTCTATTGATGGTGTTATGGTGGTTAGTGGTGGTCAAACCACCACAACTTAAAAGTACATTGCCATATTAAGCATGCAGAATAAAACCCAAAACTAGTTTTTTAATATATATATATATATATATATATATATATATATATATATATATATATGATTAACAACTGTTCATTAGCAAGGAACCCACAACCACTTGTTCATGGTGGCCTATGGTGGCAGGTGGCTGCCAGTGGTGGTTCACGGTGGTTTAAGGGTGGAAGCCTCCACCTTTTGACGAATTGAAGGAATAAGTTGTTGGGTAATCTTGATGGGTTAAGTTGTTCATGGGTATGGATTCGAATGGGTCGCTCCAGTTTCGTTATCCACAAGTTGAAGAATTAGGACTTGGTCTAATGAAAAACCACTACAAGAAATGGGGGCATTAGCGGCGACACTGGGTATTAGCGGCAACATGTAATAGACGCGTTACATGTCGTCTCTAATACCTAATAGCAATATGCGTCAACTGAGCCCTATCCGTCTGATTTCCTTTCAATCCAAGGGTCGTAGAGGAACGAAAAAATGCGCATATTTTTCCCTCTAGTATGTCGCCGCTAATAGACCCCTGTCACCTCTAATACCTACGTGTCGCAGCTATTGCCCGTCGTTGCTTAAGGTCTTTACAGATAATCCCCTATCTGCTTCCTTTTCTGTTTCGCTCGTGAGTACACTGATCGATACCCTAGGGTAACTCATCCAACCTATTCTCCGCCATCAGCTGCATACGAAGTTCCTGCCACCTTCACCTAACTAGCTTGCGGATACCATTACATATCACTAAGACCAGATAATTCTTTAAATGAGAGGTCCTGCCTTACAACGGTTGGACTCAGATAAGAGCTGCGAGATAGGGCTAGACATAAACTTCTGAAATTATTTAGTCCTCACAATATGTAATGTAATGTATCCATTTACTAGTTAACTAAAAATAACTAGAACTCCTGTTATCACAAAGCAAGCAACATTCGGGCATTGAGTAGCCCGTCCCAAACATATCCTATCCGGGCTATCATGTAACTCAATAAGCATACACAAAAGGCATAGCAGGCATCTTCCTTGATCATTAGCCCTATTCTAGCATGCAGTTCTCATATACACATAGCAGGCATAAAATGGATCCTCCCTAGATCCTTAGTCCTAATCTAGCATGCAGTTCTCATAACCATATCATAATATAATATAAAATGTATGGGTATCTTGGGGAATACTTACTTGAGCTCGGCCGGTCGCGCACATCACACACCTTGTTCATTCTCAAAACTTTCTTACTTTAAATTTTAGAAAACATTTTCTTGTGAAACTTTTCAAACCCTCGGTTTGAGTTCAGGCACCCCCGAAGGTGTGTCTGATCCCTCAAACCAAGGCTCTGATAGCATCTTGGAACATCCCAAATTTCGAGGCCAAAAATTTCATTTTTAATTAAGTAATTTATAAAATCGTTTATTGAAAACATTGTCGATATCATATCAATCCATAAACCATCATGAACATGTCTCAAATTCAAAACATCGAACAGTAATAAAATCAGAGTACAATCCCATGAATCACATAGTGCAGAAATCTGGTGTGCGTGTGATGTATAGCTACCGCGCCGACTCTTTCCCCTTCATTGAAGAGGTACATGAAACAAAACTAAAAACTGTAAGTATGAAGCTTAGTGAGTTCCCCCATCATACCACATACCAAACAGTCACATAGCATACATACTGTCGGGCAATTCTAAGGCGCCTGACCTACCCGGTCCGACCATTCTGGGGTGTCGACCAACCCATGTCAAACTGTTCTGGGGTGCTGATCTACCCATGTCAAGCCGTTCTGGGGGTGCTAACCTACCCTTCGGTCCTAACAACCAAACTTCGAGGAATTTTTCACCCCTATCACTACTACCACATATATCATAACATAAACATACTGTCAGGCATATCTGGGGTGCCCGACCTACCATTCGGTTCTAACAACCGAACTTGGGGACTAGTCCCCTCCTACTACCACTATCACATACAACATAATCATGCTAGCACATACACATATCAGGTAGTAGTAAACCAAACAATTATCATAAAGACAATCATCTCAACTATAATCAACTACTAGTGGGCCGACCTTGGTGCTTTAGACCCATTTCTACTGAAAGGTAACCCACCTCGATGTCGTGTAGTGTCCACACACCTTTCTCTTAAAAGTTCAACTCCAGTCCGGGTCAAAGTCAAAGTCAACATCCAGTTGACTTGACTCGCTGAGTTGGTCCACCAACTCGTCGAGTCCATATTCTTTCGAAATGATACAACCCCTGACTCTACTCATCGAGTCTAGGGAGAACTTAATGAGTCCTCCTTCAACCATAATATAGGGACCATCTTCAACCGACTCACCGAGTTCAGCCTTGAACTCGTTGAGTTTATCTTCATCATATGAATGTGTCCAGTCTATGACTCACAGAGTTATACGAACAACTCGTCGAGTCTGTCTTCATGGGTTGGGAGATTGCCTTGGACTTGCTGAGTCCGCTCATACGCTTGCTGAGTCCCATGATTTCCAGGTCCATAATCACATCCATCTTGTTGATTCCTCTTCTAGACTCAACCAAATTCCTCAGAAACAGAAAAGGTTGGGGAACCAATACCCGAATCGCCGAGTCCCTTAAAGTCCATGTTCATAAACTCGATTTTTGTTGAGCTCATCTCATCCAAAGGGTAGATCTGACCTTCTGGGGTCGATATATGTGACAACCCCAAATTCGTGGCCATAAAAGACCGATTTGTTTATGCTTTATTTGAAAATCAGAGTATATTTTTAAAGAAATATAATGCGGAATTTGTTCCCAAAAAAAAAATATGAAAAAGAATTTATCAAAGCATTTCCGTAGAAATGTATTATATTAAGAACTTTGGGATATCATTGTTGATACAGATCAAAAGCATAAACATAAGCAACATAGGCATTATAATATCTATTTATTCTAGTAGCCTATAATCCATTGATTTCTCATCAGATCATCACTCCTGTGCTCTCTTTCCACTACCTGTATATGAGAAAACTGAGTGGGTCAGGCTTGGGAGCCTGGTGAGCACATAGGGTTTTCAACCCGCAATAAATAACTTTAATAATTTCATCAACCAACAATAACCCGATTACCCATTCCCGTTATCCTCACTTTACGTCCCTAAAACACCTATCGTAAGGGATCTAGCCTAAGGATTATCATCGGGATGGACACTATTGCTAAAGGGTTTCCTCAACAATAAATGTCCGTAAGGAAACCATGAGGGGGATAGAGTACGCCATCGAACACATCGTTCACAAACACCTAGAGGTTGCAGGCCTGCTAGCGTTCCACTTGACTGTCTAGAATAGTCCGTGGTTGTCATCTATACTCTGCTAGATGACTGGATCAACAGCAACATCGAGGCCTCTCATCATTTTATTTCATCACACACCAACTATTTCATCTACCCATGTTTTACCCCCAACATATTTGTAGATATAAAATACATATACAGTTTAAATCATTTAAAACATGTATAATAGTGTTCGTCTAACATAGATAACAAGTATACAGACAATATGCACACATAGCATGTAATTTATATAAAATACTTTCATATCTATGCGTAAGATGAAAATAAATATGCACTCACTTTAGTAGCAGGAGTAGATAGAATCTAAAAACGGTCAACGGCTCGTGATCGTCGGGCTCGGGACGCGGAACGGCTTGAGAAAATGAGAGAGAGAAGGAAGATTTGGTGTAAGAAGTGAATGAGGTCGAACTTGCTATTTATAGGCTGATTTCGGCTCATTCACGTCGTGAGAATTCATTGCTCACGTCGTGAGCCATGGATGAATCACCTTGTAGCTTCAACATCTGCGTTCTAGGCTTGAATAGTGTCTGTTTGACTCCTCACGTCGTGAGAATTCATTACTCACGTCGTGAGCTTTTGAGTTATCGTTCCCGTAGACTTCTAGCTTCGAAATGTGGCTTTTTGACTCCTCACGTCGTGAGAAAAGAGGCTCACATCGTGAGTGCAGTCAATTTAGGGTTTCTAACACATGTCATGCTCTTAGACAACTGTATCTTCGAAAGGTCATAACTTTTGCATACAAACTCCGTTTTTGACGTTCTTTATATCCACGCATAGGTGGAGACGTACTCTACAACTTTAATTTAGACTCCTAAGGATAAAAAGTAGCTTATCATAAACTAAATTTTATGTTTCCCAGTGTCGTGCAGGTTTTGACGCGAAACTTTGACAGATCATATCTTCTTCATTATAACTCGAATTTCGGCGTACTTTATATCTCCGGAATCCTTGTCCCAACAACTACAACTTTCTTTATAGATATTGGACCTATCTATTATTTTATTTTTGACGCTTATTTTTATTCTTAACTTATTATATCTTATAATTAAATATAAGGCACATAAAATCACATAATATTCAAATAATTCCTATTTATTATTTCAAAGTAGGTTATAAGTGTTGACCCTAACTATTACACCATTAAATTAGTGCTTAGTCTAGAAACATGGGCGTTACAATATAACACGTAAAGTCACGAACTTTACGTCCATGCATGGGTCTTTAAGCTCAAAAGACCCAAAAATGAGGTCTACAAGTTGCATGGGGCTCTCATGGCCATAGAGTTGGCACCTTTATGCCATGAGAATCCTCCAAGGTTCAAGATCTGAAGCCCTTACTCTTCATTACACTCTGAAACCCGAAATGGCTTAGAAATTCCCCAAAGATGTCAAGTTTCAAGCCCTAAAGTGGATCTAACAAGTAAGAAGTCAAGGTAGGAGCTTTTTACCTCAAACAAGCTGGAAATACAACCAAATCTCTGGATCTACTGACTTCCTCTTGAACCCCCAAGTATTTTCTTCCTTCTCTAATCTTCAAACACAAAGAATGACACCAAGTAGCTTCAAGAACACTCAAAAGTTAGCTAGGGTTTTGTGAATAGGGTCTGGAGGTGATGGAGGCTAGGGTGGAGGCCTCACAAAGTGTTTAAATAGGGTGCAAACCCTAAAAATTAGGGTTTTGTCCAGACAACTCCTACTCGTCGAGTTGGTCTCCCGACTCGTCGAGTAGGTCACTAAACCTCCGAGTCCAAAGTCGATTATACTCGACGAGTTGGGCCTCCAAATCGCCGAATCCCAGGTCAAAACATGATAATTACTTGAATTAAATTACGTATCAAAGTGCTACATTTTACTTGTCCAAGGAAACACAAGATAACTATTGCAATCTTCTATTGTCTACTATGGTGTATTTGAAAGGCACGAAACAACAATGTTTTCGATAAAGCGGGAACTTCCTCTACCATAATTGTTGATAATGTTATTTCCTTTTCAATTGTTTGGTGCAATTACAAAAGTAGGATATATGTTTGTAGGTGGGTCGACTAGAATGTTTCTTCATTTGCTCATGTAACTTGTATGTGAATTTTTGTTATTTTGCTTAGGTTTTAGCTTCATATTAACTGTGGTTTTGTTTGTTTTTAATATATTTTTTTCACTATTTCCAATAGAAAAAAAGGGAACATTACGTTTTACACTTACAGTCACAAAAGTAATTAACCGATCACGGACTTCAAAAAAGATTAAAGGTACAAAAACATTGATCCTTGACTTGATTGACCAAAGTAAACGATGCGTATTTTGCATTAGTTATTGAAATATATAAGTTGAAAAAGAATATTAAGATAATTCTTCAAATAGTTAGGATAGCACATAGTAGTGGTAGTACCAAGTAAACATTATAATTATATTATATTGATGTGTTATATTTATATTAATATATGAAATCAAATAATATTTTATAAATTTATATTTATAGTTTAAACTTGAAGAAACGGTTTTTTTTTTTATTTAATAATAATTATACTAATAATAGACCGATCATATATTCTAGATTTTAGAATTTAAGTTCATTTTAAAAATATTAATGTATAATTTATAACTTTTATTATAATGTAATAATGAATTATGTATTTTTAATATATGACTATTTAATAATAACAAATGATAATGTTTTTTTATTTTCTAATAGACTCGATCCTCTAAACATAATAGGTTAGTCTTGTGATAGAGACTTTTGAATCATACAATATGTTTTTGCAAGGATTGAATCTACTATAATAAATGAAGGTTTTTTTTGCTATATATCATTTTCTCCTTCATTTGAACACATGATATTTTCTAAAAATTTTAAATTTTTTATTTTCCACTTATCATTTTATTATATTTTTCATTTTATTAAATTAAAATTCCACATTTAATGTGTAATGTAATATATATGTAAAGTATTTATTAGAAAGAGTTTATGTATGTAATGTATTCAATACATTAAAGTTTCAATAATTTTAATAATTCAAATTTTTTTTCATTTTTCTTATAAATTCAAACTTTTCAAATTGTTAAAATTTCATATATTTTTTTAATTAAACCCATGTAATACATGGGTCTCACACCTAATGTTGATAATATCTCGTGAAAATGTGTCTTTTTTTTTTTTTTTTTTTTTTTTTTTTTTAATTTTTAATTTTAAACGGTAAATCTATTCTACTCCTACACTACTCTTAATTCTCCACCTATGTTCTTCACGAGACTTGAACCCCCAACCTCAAGGAGGGATGCCAACACCAGATACCGTCGGACTAGAAACATTTTAGTGTAAATGTGTCTTTTAGTCAGTTAGGATACTTGTTTAATTATTTAATGTTCTAAGTTGGTAGTTGAAAAGCTAAAGAATAGCTTTTATTGGATAAAAATAAATGTAAGCTTTTTGAAAGATATAAAATAATAATAAATATTAAATATAAAAGTTAACACAACTCTTAAAAGTACTTAAAATAGCTATGAAACATTTTTCTTAAAAGCTGATTTTTAAATTTATTTTTATAAATTCGTTGCCAAATATACCACGAATTTGATCAAAACGTTATTTTATAAGAAATTGGGAAAATGACTTAAAAGCCCAACAAAGTTTTCAAACTATTCAAAAAACTCCAATCATGTTTTGTCTGTTCAAAAAAACTCAACGAACTTAACATTTTGTCTAAAAAGTCCAACAAAGTTTCAAACCGTTCAGAAAATTCCAATTTTGTTTTGTTTAAGTTCGTTGGGTTTTTTTTTGAACAGTCAAAAAGTGATTGAAGTTTTTTAAACGTTTTGAAAACTTCGTTGGTCTAACAAGTCATTTTTCCGATACGGTAATAAGCCACGCCATCTGTTTCTCTTATTTGACTTTCGAGAAAGTGTAAATTAGTTGAGTTTTTTAGATAAAATGTTAATTTTGTTGGGATTTTTTGAACAAACAAAACATTATTAGAGTTTTTTAAACGGTTTGAAAACTTCGTTGGGCTTTTAAATCATTTTCCCTAAGAAATTAAACATTTACGGTTTTCTTGAATATAAAAAGAAAAAATGAGAATTTTATAAAGTGAAGTTGACTTAATTTGGTACTGGGACCCATTTATCTCGATATTCAAACTCTAGTACTAGTTTACTACACTACCCATTGACTAGAATTAGTCGACGACTTTAATCCCTTTTTCACTCCCATATTCACCAACTTCAAACTAAATATGCTATATAACTTGTACATCATTCAATAAACACACAACATTACTCTGGATTTAGTAAAAATGAAAACACAGAATTTTAATCCCTTTATAATCTCGCCATCGTTGTAAAGAGATAAATCGAAGGAAGACCAGCCGGAAACCGCCATGGCTGCCTTGACAACATCACTGTCAATATTATCATTCTTGTTCATACTCAATTCCATTCCAATCCCATCATTCTCTTGTCCGATTCATCAAAAACAAGCTCTTCTTCGATTCAAATCCACCATCACCACCATCATCGATTCCAACTCCGACCCCAACTCCGATGAATATGTACCATTCGAAGAACTAGATTCATGGAGTCCAAAATCCGATTGTTGCTCCTGGGACCGTGTCAATTGCACCAGAACCAGAAACAAAACCAGAATCGTCACCGAGCTCCACCTAGACGCCGTCGTTCCCCTGTTTGTTGACCTGGTTCCGGTGTTCTCCGATATCCTGAATCCCCTTTTCGAAATCCGGTCACTGAAGGTACTCGATATCTCCATGAATTCGTTGGTAGGTGAGATCCCCGGAGATGGGTTTGGTAACCTCACCGGACTTGTTCATCTTGACATGATGCAGAACAGCTTCAATGGTTCCATTCCAGCCCAACTTTTCCGGTTAACAAATTTACGTTACTTGGACATGAGCACCAATTACCTTGAAGGAGGACTAGGGCCTGAACTGGCTACTCTTCGGAATTTGACAACATTATCGTTGAGTGTGAATCGTTTCCAGGGTATGATTCCTCCTTCGCTTTTCAAACTTGAATCTCTTCGTTTTCTCGATCTAAGCAACAACAGTCTCACCGGTGGTTTAAGTTCTGAAATTGGAAACCTTCGGAATCTTGAATCCTTGAAACTGAATGAGAATTTTCTTACCGGAAGTATCCCAGAGGAAATTGGAAATCTGACGAAGTTAAGGGAACTTTGGGTAGGAAAGAATCAGTTTTCGGGTGGAATCCCCTCTTCGGTTGAAAATCTCAAGGATTTAGAATCCCTAGATTTGTCTGGAAATTCGTTCTCCCTCCAAATTCCTTCTGGCATAGGAAGACTACCCAACATGACGACTCTTGATCTGAGTAAGAACCAGTTCATGGGTCCAATCCCACCATCTATGCAAAACTTAAGAAAGTTAGAAACCCTTCAGCTCAAGAACAACATGCTCGCCGGAGAAATCCCAACATGGTTATTCAACATCAGAAGTTTAAAGAAATTGTTCATCGGAGGAAAAGGTAACCGCTTGATTTGGAATAATAAAACAAAAATCGTTCCAAAATGTAAGCTAGAACAGATCTCCATGTCTTCCTGTGGATTTTCCGGTGAGATTCCTGAATGGATTTCTTCACAGAAAGACTTGAATCTTCTTGATTTGAGCCAGAATCAATTGGAGGGGGAATTTCCCGATTGGCTTGCTAAGATGGACATCGGAAGCATAATCTTGTCAGATAACAAGCTTACTGGATCACTCCCGCCTCGCTTATTTGAATCTTTAAGTTTATCAATTCTTGCTTTGTCCCGGAATAATTTTTCCGGCGAGTTACCGGAGAATATAGGAAACGCCAGAGCAATCATGCTTCTTATGTTGTCGGGAAATAATTTCTCCGGCCAAATTCCAATGTCTATATCAAATATTTACCGGTTACTACTTCTGGATTTGTCTAGAAATAGATTTTCCGGCGACAAATTCCCAGTGTTTGGAGATAACCCTCTTCTTGCTTTCATCGATTTGTCATACAACGAATTCTCCGGCGAGATTCCGGTGACTTTTTCCACAGAAACTCAGATTCTATCTCTTGGCGGGAATAGATTTTCCGGCAATCTGCCCCGGAATTTGACCAACTTGGTCAACCTCGAACATCTTGATCTTCATGACAACGATATCACCGGAAATTTCCACGAAGTTCTTCCTCAAATCCCGAATTTGCAAGTTCTAAGCTTAAGAAACAATTCCCTTGAAGGATTTATCCCAAGAACAATCTCCAACCTCACTTCTCTCCGGATTCTTGATGTCTCCGGGAACAACCTCGCCGGAATCATCCCACCGGAGATCGGAAACCTAGCAAGAATGATGAACACTCCGGACTTGTTACCAACGTATGACATCTTCAACTTCTTAATCGAGTTTCAAGACTTGATATTAAACTGGAAGAACTCTTTTCGAGGGCTATCAAGTCGGAGCTTAGACATCTACTCATTCTTGGATTTGTCAGAAAACCGAATCTCCGGCGAAATTCCGGCATCGTTAGGCAATCTCAAAGGCTTAAAACTTCTCAACATTTCACACAATGAAATCTCCGGGAACATTCCGGTGACTTTTGGGAATCTGAAAGGAATAGAGAGCTTGGATTTATCACATAACAAAATCTCGGGTTCGATTCCTCAATCACTGGGAAAGCTTGATCAACTTACGATTCTTGATGTGAGCAATAACAGGCTGACAGGTAGGATTCCGGTGGGTGGACAGATGAACACGATGAATGAGTTGAAGTATTTTGCAAACAACAGTGGATTATGTGGCATGCAGATTAGAATCATATGTCCAGAGGATGTTACATCATCAGAAGGAGAAGATGAAGAAGACAAGAAAGATTCATGGATTATGTGGGAGGGAACTTGGATCGGATTTCCAGTTGGGTTTTTTTCATCGATCTTGATCATGGGCTACTCACTGAATTTTCTACATCTGTTCAAATTCTGGTGAAAATGTGTTGTAATTTGTAAAATAAAAAGAAACACAAGATTATATCTTTATAGTTTATAGTATTAATCATCAAGATTTCGTTTCTGTTCTTGCATAAATCCCCATTTTTGTCAAAAGGGTTATCGAGAAACTCAAGAAAAAGGCGAAATCCGAAATAAAAGTACAATAAAATGATAAAAAAGCAACAAACTTTACTGGGATTTTCATTATCAGATGAAGAACATAAAGAAGCTCGTTAATAACATAAATTCTTACATCAGAAAGCAGAAGAGCCAGAGTGAAAATAAATTAGGAAATGAAATCTAAAAATGGAGCTCAGATCTTTGCAAGACACTCGATCTTTATCTCCAATTCAATGAGTAAATGAATGGACGAACTTACAGCCGATCTTTACTTATTCTATCGACATGGTGATGGTTTTAAAACATCAAAGAATCGTGCAAAAACAACCTCCATTATCGTCTTCGTTGTCTGTATCTCCTGTTTCACTGTAATAAAAAGTAACAAATTAGATCATAATCGAAGTGAATTTCATGTAAAATCACGATAGACTACAAGTAAATTGATGACGAAAACTAACCTGGATTCAAATTCTTTGATATCAACAAGTTGTTTGCCTAAACTATCCATCCATTGCACTTTTTTTCTTTCAATTGGCGATCTTGATTCGGGGTCACACTTGTTCTTCATACAACTTCTGAGAACAATAGTTTCGATCTCTGGTTCTTGCTTTTCATCTTCGGAAATCTCTTTATTGACTTCAATAACTTCTTCAACATGATTTTGATCACATGGATCGATTACAACAGATGAAGGAGGGACATGAGGGGAATTTTCCAATTTCAAAGGGCCAGAATTGTAAAGATGAGTAGCAGTTGAAGGTTTGCAGAAACATATGAATGAAGGACAGTGGATCTTGCAGAACAAAACCCTCATGAAAATACTCTTCATTAACTAATCACTCATCTGTAAAACTCACAAATTCAACCCATTAATCAAGAAACAAGAACAAAAACCCAAACATCGATCTTAAATCCCTAAAAGAGAATTGGGATTTTTTTTTTTTTGTTTTCAATATTTCGATATTGGCAATTTGGCACTCATCTTTAACAAATCAAGTGGCAAGATTCATTAAAAGGTGAAATCTTGGGAGAAAATAAAGATCACCCAGAAGAATTCGAGGCAAATAATGATGACCCAGAACTCGGATTTCTTGCTAAAAGCAGAGGAAATCTAAATTTGAGACCAGATGCTTTGCAAAGAATGAAGAAAGGAAGAAAAAGAATACCTCCCAAACAAGAATTTGTTCTCAAGACATGAATTTATTATCCACAAATCTCTGTTTCCTGAGTTACTATTTTAAAAGAGAAAGGAATAAGACAAGACAGTTTTTTTGTAACCTTTATCTTCTTCTTAAAGAGAAATAGGGACAGGAAGAAAGAAGCATTCATGAATCTTTATTGACAATTCTGCCCTCCAAGATAAGGAATATTAGGAAAACACAAGAAACCATGTTAACTAGTAGTAATTCCTTCCAACAAGATCAAGAATCTGATTTCTATTTCGATAAAGCAAAGGAAAGATTACTTTGAAGTAAAGATGTCATGGCCCAAATCAAGCCATGAAACTCGACATACAATTAAATAGAGGTGGATTAATGAAGCATAAGAGACAAACAAAGGATAAATAAATTGAGAAGATGATTGGGAGTGTGAGCTGTCGAAATAAATTATATAGAATTAGTCAAAAGTTAGGAAAAGGAGACCTACAAAAGTCATCAATTTGCTATTTTGATAGGCAAAATCTAGTTTCAGCACATTCTCTAATCTTTCTAACTGTTCTTTAACTTACAAGAATATATATAGTATGTGTGTCATTACTCATAAGTAACTGTCATGACTCATGTTTTTCTAACCTTTTCTCTCCTTTTTCCTTGGGGTGTTTTGCCCTTTTGTTAAAGGAACTTTTGTCATTGAAAGATCCACTTGATAATAAGCAAGGCTAGAATTCTTTTTTTCTTTTTCCTGCAACAAAAGTATACTCTATTCAGTAGATCTAATAATTTGGATTTTGATTTGTCTTAAAATAATCATAAGATTCATATTTTGTATAGAGTTTTTATTAGAGTTATACTTTTATTAGTTAGAAATCACTACGAGATTGTAGTATTGTTAATTTGATCTATAAATTTGTACGGATTGTTTATATTGAGCCATGATGCAATGTCCGAGTGTTTGTACATTACATCTAAAAACAATTTTATGATATTAAATAATGAGAATTAGATAATTAATCCTAATAAAACATAAATAATGGTGTGTTTTGTTCATGGATTTTGTAAGAATTAGATTTTGAAAGAATTGGAATGTAAACTCCAGTAAAAAATGCATTTGATCGACAAAATCAGTAGTTAAATTCTTTTAAGTTACATTAAATTCTATGTCCATGGGAATTGGTTATTGTTTCGGTTAAAGACAAAGATTTTGGATTTCATTCATTACATTTTATTATAAAGAAAAAAAATCTGCTCTCACTTAATTTTTATCTAAATCAAAACATATTATCATCATATCCCCATCTCACCTGCCAACTTATCCACACCCACCCCACCCCACCCGAGACCTACCCTACACCATACCTATGCCAACGCCAACAGTCCAACACTGAAGCCCGCCCCACCCACTTGGGATTTTTATTCAAAAATTGTTTCAAAAACACAAAGATGACAATGAAAGACTTTAATTTTGAACAAAATAAAACTAGTTTATTCCCACCAAAAGATCAATTTGCAAAGTTTGGAAAGAAAACAACAACCATAGAAGGGAAGAGTTACAACCTTTGAAGTCTTTGGTTCCTTTTGGCAATTAGGAAGTTGATAAAGATGACAAACAAATCAATGAAGAGCTTCTCTAGAAGTATCCACAAGCAAGATTAACCATAAAAATATGTTAGTATACACTTGTTAATAAGTTACTTTTAAGCTATAAGACATGTCTAAAAAGTCTAAATAGAAAGAAATTTATTTGTCTTTATTCCATGCTCCATTTACAAGAAAGGAAGAAGGGAGAAAGAGGTTTTAATCTTCAAAAATGGCAGCCCCAAAGAGAGCTATGTGCTCTCGGTTTTGCTTTAAAGAATAAGAAAAGAAGCCAAGAAGTACAAACTACAAAATGCTTTCAAGTCCTTATTTGATATATCTTCTAATGTAGAAAAACGGTAAGACAATAAAGTCAAAGGAGTAAGCTTTCTTGCAAGCATGGAGTAAAGATTAAACAAAGGAAAAAACAATTCAAGACTATATCTCTTGACTTTCGACCACAAGGTCAAGGGGGGACAAAATCCAAATGCTCTTTACTTTATTCAACTAGTTAATTACACATATCAACTATGTAACACTCGGTTCCCGATACGTATTTAAATTTAATTAATTGTATGTTTTTACACTGGGACACGACGAGTCGGAGAGCCCGACTCGGTGAGTAGGACTGTCTGGATGAAATCCTAATATTTAGGGTTTGCATCCTATTTAAACACCTTATCTTGTCCCAACCCAGCCTTTATCGTCCCTCCCAGTCCAGAGAAGCCCTAACTCGAAACCCTAATCAATTATTGAGTGTTCTTGAGCTTTTTGGTGCGTTTTATGTGTACTTGAGGTTAGAGAAGAAGAAGGAAGCATGAGAGACTCAGAGGAAGCAAGAAGATCCATAGGTTTTGGCACATTTCCAACTCATTTGAGGTATAAAGCTGAAACCTTTACCATCTATCTTTTCTGTGACAACCCAAAAATTTCTAGCTTACATTCTTCATTTCTTATCAAAGTTAAACTCGTTTTTGCTATTTTCTAGCACTGTTTGGAGTCAAATAGAGTGTTTAAAGCCTAGTATAAGCAGGGTAGGAGTCGTGGGATAGGTATTGTGGGTGTATCGCCTTGCATTTGAGCCAATCACACCAACACAAGGTGTGTGCGGCCACACACCCATCCCAACCGCACACTCGCCCTATATATAGAACACTTAGCCATTTGGAACACTTTCTACACTTCCACAAAGCTAGGACCCGAAAATCCTCTCAAGTATCATCCAAATCTCCTTGAGGATCTTCATAAAAGGTAACATCTTACACCAAGAACACCAAGAACACTAGGTGTACGGCCGTACACCCAACCGCACACACCATGTATGGCCGCACACCTGGCCGCACACATACATATAGTGTGTATTTTGACCATACACTCCTTTGTAAAGCCACATGCCCCCTTCATACAATCATATATGGTTGTAACACTACAATATAAGTGTTTACTAGTCCCTAAGGTGGTCCCACTTCAATAATTAGTTGCTTTAAACACTAATTTTATTCATATATGTATCATTATATGTAAAATAGGATCTGCGTGTGTGTTCAAGCCTTCACTTGACACCTATCATCCTAGACAATCTGTTCATCCAAACCACTCACTACAGGTGAGTTCATACCCCTTAATTAACCTTTTAAATGTTTTATTTTGGGGGGGGGGGATACAAATTGAATACTTATAGTTATTATATCAATCACATGTGATTAATAACTACCAAACTAGTGGATTCTTACTGTTCAAACTGTTTACCAAACTGCTGTACTTCAAAACTGTTTTACAAACTCTTTTACTTGTCAAATACTTTACTTAAACTCTTTTACACTTATATTCGGTGTATCTGTATAGATATAGTTATATAAGTAGGACTGAAAGGACTTAGGACTGCTAGCCTACCCTGCTTCATGTTCCTTGTTTGGTTGTGGACTTAAGGTATCAAGGTTAGTTGTCCGAAGGTCGTTTGAATCCTAGTTATATATTATGTATATGTATATAGATATAAAAGGTTATTTCCTTCATAACCATTCCATGCCCTTGGGTAGCAAGGGTATTCAAACATGATCATACATTGCTAGTAAACTACTATAGGAGTAGTTTAGATGATACTAATACTAGTACTAGAACAATGAAACCTACAATGAGTCAGTTCATACATGAGTCAAAGGATACAATACCCTTGAGTAGCAAGGGTATAAAAACATGTTAACACTATGATGAGAAACAAACAAAAGGCACTATGATGAGAAACAAACATACATGCTACATAGAGAAAGAACACATAATACAGCTAGCACACATATACATTACATATACATTAACACAGTTATGTGAGCCATTAAATAGGGCATGGCACTACCTGCCATGACTATTTTTGTATCAGAATCTCCTTAAATTGGGAGCGTATGAGTTTGAGTATAGATCTATACTGGATTGACTATCCTACACCTTGCTGCTCGCTACAGTGGGACTTGCGAGTCTACGGGTGCCAAACGTCATTTTTACGGCATCTTATATTGTCGTTTTACTATTGAGTCGTTAGCAAGATACATGCCGATCACATGTTACCTTAAAATTTACAATTGCTTAAGGTAGTTAGTACAACAGTAGCTACTTAATACAACACTACAGTACTATAATATTTTTCCCATTACATTCACTTCGTGAACATGCACACGATGCACAGTAATGTAAAAACTATATTTTTGGTTAATGATAGTTGGATTTGGGAAAATACACACTCTTTCAAGAGACACACACATAGTCACTAGATGCTTTGGTAGAAGGCTACTCTTAGTAGGAAACATAGGGTTTTCTAGGATAGTTCAAAAAAAATACAAACTTTACAAAACTTATACATTACAAATATCTTACAAATGCTTTCATACAAACTCAGACACTAATATACTTATGATCTCACCAGCTTTAAAGCTGATACTCGCTTTCAAAATAACTTGTATTCTCAGGTCACCAGTAGACAGGTACCGGTGCTAGGTTTTTGAGAAGATGGAGCTTGTTCAAGACTCCTCTTTTATTTTGATGTACTTTTTGGTGTCTATTTAACTTGACATAACACACTTGTATGAAATTATATTATTAATGCAATGGATGATGTTGTTGCTTGTTTACTACTTTGCATTGTTGTGATACTTGACGTCCTCCACCCCCGAACGATTCCGCTGTTCAGGTTTTGGGGTGTGACAGATTGGTATCAGAGCATTGTTTATAGTGAACTGAGGGTATCAACCCATAAAAGATATACGAACTATAAACACAAGAGGGATTAAAATACTCTGATTAAGAGTAATAAAATATTTAACTAAGTATACATACCTGCATTCATACTGAAATCAGTGTCACTAGGACAGAACAAAAGTATTACGATTGTTGGACAACACAAGTAGACTTAGAGACATATGGTCAACCCTGGGAAGATGTAGCATGATCAACTACATTATCCAAGGAGTGACTAGCATGTGCCTAAGGATGGTTGTGAGGTTGCAACAAGTCTAAAAACTTACCAACACTACGACAATAAGAACAGTAGAACATAACACTAAACTTAAAATACTATAGGAGTATTTTGTGATACTATAATTACTTATCTGAGAACTAAAGGTCTTTATTGGTATGTCAATGGTTGTCTAGTGGATACACTAAGGTTATATGTACCTAGGGTGTCATAGACTAAGAATCTGTGAATCTTTGCTTTATTTCATGTCCTCGTTGGGATGTGGGCTTAGATTTAGGATCACTTATTCGAAGGTCTATCATGTTTCAGAATACGTATAACTGGTATGCCCTAGACAAGTATTGGA